AAACAAACGTGGGTTTTATATCATTTCTTTTTTTCGTTACTGTAAGACATTTGGTCAGTGTCCTTTCGTCCATACCTTTGAAATATGCATATTGAACTACACGTGGCTAAAACGTTCAAAAATGGCGATTCCTGGGCAGCGTGAACCTTTGATAATAGCATTAGCAAAAATACTACTCAGGGTCGCTATCGCGAATCAGTGCCTGATCTGTGGATGAGGTTTGGAAACATCTAGGTACAGGTCGTCTTGCATGAATGAGGATATTTGCCTAGAGATGTCTTTTACATATGACCTAGATTGCCCTTCTGGACATGTTTGAGACAGTAACGCATCCAGCCGATTTGCGAAGACTTTGACTATACCGCCAGCGAAGCTTCCATGTGCTGACGGGCTGGTGTTTCTCTTTCCAGGGAGATCCTGGTCTCGACAAGGATCAAGATTCGTCTGAAATGATGATACATCGGCGGTCGAGGAGAGCCCTTGGTGACGTTGACTCGCCCCTCACGGCTGGTAATCCCACCAATGCTGTTCTTCGTTGATGTTTCAAACCCCGTCTCTTAATCATTGTCAGACTACTTGGCTTGGAATCAATGTGCACGAGTTTGTGTCTTCGTTTTTCAGGAAAGAGAGCAAAGACCAAAGACACAAAAACGATCGCTGGGGGAGGGGTTCAAGCTGAATGACCCCGCCCGAAATACCAGTGTAACCTTTGCAGATCCGAAGGGGAAGGGGGTTCTAAACCTAGAATATTGTCTTTTTTTTCTACCGTAATGACTGACAGGCATGATAGGAACTACTTGCGGCTAAAACCTAGCATGTAACCCTATCCGTCACCCCCCTCTTAAAAAAAATCCAGATTTTTTGATCCACCCCAACATCGCCCCGGATTACTTAGTGTTGGCTCCGCAGTTGGCTGTCATTGATATGATAGACACTACGCATGCCAACCACATACAGCGACTAAGGGCAAGGCCGGGCGCAAACCATAGTTCGACCAGTAGTGAATTGTTTTTAACAAGGAGCATGCACAATTCGGTAACACGCGAACGACCCTAGCTAGTCGATAATTTTGATAAAGAAACCCCCCAGCGTTACATTTCACCGTTGGCTGCGATTCTCGCAGTGTGCATGGTCATTGAAATCTAGTACCATTATTTTCATGTAAACAGTCCCCTTTGCAATGATAAATGAAATCGGCTATTGGTAACCAGCGGTGTAACCGTACCCCTCGGCCTGGCCCCAAATGGTTGACCAGAAAGTCCAAACCATCCATCGTTCGGGCGGTGTTAGTCGAACTATAGTTAAATGTAGTCGTCTCTCGAACTTGACCAAACCTGTCGATGCTGCTTTGGGTGACTTGATTATTTCTTCTTTGCACTCGAATAAAATTCGATATTAATTCACCTTTTATAGTCGTAGACCCCAGAGATGTCCTCTTTTTGGACTTGTTATCTCTAGCTTCGGTGCTTATATGATCCTTCCTTTTTCTAGCTCACGATTTTTGTCATGATACAAATTATTGTAAACATTTTATTATCTTCTATGCAAGAAATATTTTATAGGACATACAAACAACTCCCCAATTTAATTAAAGTCTTAAAGGGAGAGTTACAGGTTTGACAAAGGTTTAATCGGAGAATGCGGGCTGATACGATCAAAGGAATGTTTACAAGCACTGTGTGGCTTAATTCAAATGCCCAGCGTGCGCCCCTATCGTTACCTTTGTATGAACCCAGTTCCTTTTTCTATCGTCTATTTTGACTGCAGAACGCCCGAAGTCCGGAGCACATGACTTGTATCCCACCTTGAAGCCGTCAGGGGGAGACACATACGTCCGATGGGGACGCACTACCTGTCCGAACGATACCAACACAGAACTCGTTTATGCAGGTAATTAGGCGCGTTTCTTTCTTCTGCAAACATTGACTGTCATTTTTTAATGAGCAGCCAAAGAAAGCAGAAAGCGCACACTTAGTTTCAAACAGCTGTGGGCGCGTGTTGAGTAGAGACTAGCGCAAGTCAGGTACATTTGAGAAAAAATGAACAGTGGGCACAAAATACCGACGGGAGCAAGTCAGGTGCAGTAGCCTACATGTACTGTACATGACATATGAGAAAGAGCATGTACAACGAATACAATATTCAGTCGGCAACGTCACATGTACTTTTCATGATCGTACCCAGCTTGCGCCCAGATAGCGTTTCCCTTGCCGAAACCGACAAAATATACACGCCCGTTCAGCACCCTCTTTCTTACAGCAGAACTTGGGCCCTTGACGTCCGCTCGGGACTGTTTATATCAAGGCAAACAAAATGACGAACAAGGAAAAACACAAAAGACGCACCGAAATGAAACTCTTGTACTTCGGCATGAGGACTTGGTAAAGTACTGGATTAAAGTTTGTACACAGGGGGTTTCCATTGTTGTTGCTTTTCAGTACAAATTGGTATAAGAATGTATGCCACTGTTGCACTGATTTGTGCACAACCATGCTGGAAAAGACCACATTTAAGGGGAGCCCAATTTCGGTCAGACTCCCAGACGAAGTGTTTCATTTGAAAACGTTAAATTTAAAGAAACAGACCCTATTCTTTGATTTCATTTTGACCCCTCAAATCACCTGGTACCATCCAATGAAGTGTTTCAAACAAACAAAACAAAAACACCACGTTCAGGAATACGACTAAAATTGGGTACCCGGAGTTGTTCTAGCAAATGGCTATGAGCCAACGACCAACCCTTTCCCGAATTCGAAATGATTTTAATGCTCAACGCAGATTCTCAGTTTCAACGGCCAAACTTATAAACTATGCAGTGTCTTCCCCGATTGACATCACAGCAATCGCGTCCTCTGTTGCCCCCAAAATAAAGGCAATTTAAAATGAACATCTTTCCCGTTGTAAGCTGGTCCTTTTTTAGTTTTCCTTTTTCGTCTGATCAGTGTCATTCTTTAATATTCTGATTAAATTTTCATCTTAGGTATTGCCGCTGGTTCACATTACACGCAAAAAGGAGGCTCGGTGGATTTCTTCTGTCTCCCTTCCGAACCGGAATGGGCGGCCAACCACAACGATGGCATCAACTCACAGTCATACCTCTACGGGATGGAGTATGAGGTTTCGACATTTGATCCCTTTTCCCACGAGAATGCAGAGTTCCTCCACGATCGTGACGTTCCTTGCGCCGTGTGCCGCCTCGTCGACCGGGGGACCCAGCTGCTTTTCCCGGCCAAGCTCGGCTGTCCGGAGAGCTGGACGGAGGAGTACAGGGGCTTCCTCATGTCCGGCTACCATACCCACGAGCAGCGTTCAAAAGCTGTGTGCGTGGACCAGGCGCCCGAGGCGGTCCCTGGGAGTCATACCAACGCGGACGGGGCACTTTTGTACATCATCGAGGGAGCATGCGGTTCCCTTCTGTGTCCTCCCTATGTTAACGGGCGTGAAATAACGTGCACAGTATGCAGCATCTAAAAATAAGGTCTACTTCCATTGTACGCAGTTTTATCTTGAAGCGAGAAATGTTAACACGGGGAACATGCTCACCCTTTTCTTTGTATAGTGTTACAGACTTTGACATGTTTGGTTTGGGAGATGAATTTGCCATAAGCCCCCCCCCCATCTCTGGTTTCTGGTCAGAACGTGCGTCGCCGTAGACTTGTGGGTTAGCAAAATAAAAAACGTTTTTTATCTGCTATAAAACGATCTCCAAAAGCGGCCAAACTTGCTTAATCGCCTGGAGTCCTGCGTAATTTTAAAGTTTTCTTGATGGGGTACGGTTGAGTAATATGTACAGTAGAGGATCCCTAGTTCCCCATTAATTTTCAGTCGGGCACTCTTTTTCAGATGACGTCATTTGTGTATTATTCAGTTACATCTGGGAACCAGACAAACGAGGTGCTGAAGCTGAGAGAAAATGACATTGAAATTCGTGCCCCTGTACATTTTCAATGGGCCGTTCAAGCTTTTTGTCTGCAGGTGCAATTTATGCACATGCGTACATAACTTAGCAATTATTAGTGGAAGTGTTTATGAACGTGCGCTTTACGTTTGGTTCCGACGAATAGAATCCCAAGCGATCAGTCTATGAGACTCGAACAGGACCAATAGAGGGCGCATTGTTAGCAACGACGGCTCTTTTTTTTTTTCAGAACTTCACTTCGCTGCATGGCTCACAAAATATTGGACCTCGAGGGGACAAGGAGTGGCATATCAGAAAGCCAAAGAGCAGTTGCAATCAAATCCTAGTTTTAGTGAGCTCTGCTGGTGTTTAGCTAAAATTGTACCTTTTCAAACTCCTCCAACTGTCTTGAACAGAGCTGCTTTAATTTTGGAATGTATCACACTAAAAGAAGGTCACTCTAAGCCATGTTAAAATTAGAAGGTTAACTAAAGTTTACAAACGTTTCGACTGTTTAGAGAATTTCTTAAAGCGTGTTTTTCATTTGAGAGGTTACAACAATGCTGTTCTTTCAAGCCTTACTATTTACATTAGTTTGCATTAATGGTCACATATGTTACTACAAATTACCTTAGACAAACAAAATTAATGGACAGCGTTTTGGTGGTTTCAGTTTTAGGCCTTCAATCTTATTACACATCCATTAACGACGGATCAATCAGCAAAGCCTCAAGACGTTGGATGTGTACATTATCCAGCTCCTTGTAAACATTCTTAATGGTTCTCGACTTGCTAGAGATCAGCGGCAGACAAACAGGAGTGCTTTTTAATTAAAACGCGTATAGATTGTCCACCTGTAGCCCTTTGACGCTAATTCCTGTCTAACCAAGGAAGCCATTTTGATTATATTCCCTGGAATCTTTATTGAAGGGAAGTCTGTCAAATTAGCTGGTGCCAGGCGAGTTTGAGATCCATGTCTCACCCTCATTTTGTTTTTAACTTGTCTGAAAACATTTCGATATAATAAATCACAAATTAAATAAAATCAGTATCATAACAAAATAAATATGCGACGAGCTGTTATTTCATTGCTTTCAGTTTTACTCTTAGGTTCAAAAATAAAATAAAACGTTAGCCTCTCCTTCAATTTAACATGGTTGTTATGCGAATATTTAATATACATGGAAACTAACGCATTTCAATGACTTGAAGTCACCGAGAGCTCGTTGGATGTGCAGTCCTGTTCACAATATTATATCATTAACATAATGAGTGTTAACATATACTGCTGATCGCTGTAAAGTGTTGAATTCGTAAACCTTCATTGATCCTTTTCACCTCGTTTACAAGAAATGAACTACAGCATTCTGTTTTTGAAGTCACTTAAAGCATTCATCAGACACGATCGATCGATTCAAACTCTAGTTTGCAAATCACCGACTGCGCATGGTCACTTGGCCCCATTCCCCTACCGAGGATCACGCCCAGGAAGGAAGGAATTTAGAAGGAACGATCGAGTCGCGTCCATGTTAATCAAAACTACACATCAGTCACGCTGTGGAATATCAGCTGAACTTCAACCTTCTGCATTGGAACGGTGAGAAACCTCTCCACCTTTTTAAAAGTTCCTTACTGTTTTGTTTGTAAGCTCCACCTAGAGACGGTAATCGTCCACACTTGGTCAGTTATACTGTGTCCTTCCCAAAGTATACTTTTAGAGAGCCAGAAATTACTTATTGTCCTGCAAATACCGATAACTGGGGGCCAAATCTCTAGCAGTGTTATTCAGTTCATACATCACGCCTGACTGCACGATGGTCAGTTGATCACAGTAGGTAATCTGGACGTCAAAGCAAAGTGAAGCGCACAAGACTGGAGCTGAGTCAGTCTGCCGACTTCTTTTTTATGTTTGGATAAATAATTGTAATTTTGTTCTTTCAAATGAGACTACAGAACCAAGAGTATTCTTGGGCATTTAAATAAAGTATTGTTGGATGACATAATCTCACTAAATGAAGAGGCCCAACTGCCTCCTCTTTTCGTATACATATGCAGCAAGGTATGAGACGGAGAGAACCCTCCCTGCTTTGTGTTGGTCATTGTCTCGCAGGAATCTGGGGGATTCCTTTCAGACATCTTGGGGGGATGTGTTAAAGTAACAATAGTCTGGAATGTGTATAGGGATTGGACATAATGGGGGGTACCCCTCGGTCTCGTTTCTTGCTGGGTATATCTTTTCGAGGTAGACGGGTTTTCCTCAAGTAACCCATGCATTATACTTTTGAATGAGGCTCGTAACATGATCACAGTTTTGAAATACTTCTATTTCAGTTAACCATTATGTGGCAATTTGTCTTGACAATTTCATGTCTTCTATAGAAGTTCAGACCAGGGGCTTGAAGCTATCACTCGAAGGTGAAAAACAAGGACATTACTTTTGGGAACTAACTGCTTCTTTCCACACACTCCTTCATGTAGCAGTTTCTGCAGCGACCGACGGATCGTTACTCTGCCGCCATGCGTGCCTCGGAGAAGCCGGCCGACACCCCACGATTTGTCTGCTCGGTGCTGGAGCGCATAGGCGCTCATGGCATCCCCAACATCGGGCGGGCGGGCACGCGGCAGCGGCGGCTAGCATGGACCGGTCTTGTCTTGGCCGGCCTGGGCTTCCTCGTCTGGCAGGGTACGCTGCTCGTGACGAGGTACCTCCAGTATGACGTGAAAGTCAGCGTGGGCCTGGGCTACGAGGCGCTGACCACGTTCCCGGCGGTGACGGTCTGTAACCTGAACCGAATTCCCCGCACGGCCATGCACACCAACAGCAAACTCGCCGAACTTGAGGGTTACATCGAGTACATACTCGAAACACAGGTATTTTCAGTCTTTAACCCTAACTCCCTAGGGTGTGTGCAAAATCATATTAAAATTGGAGGATTCAGGACTGTTAGGGTTAAAAGCAACCAAAGGGGGATTAAGCGCAAAAAATGATTGCTTTAGATTTTTGTGCAGTATAGAGGGTTTGCATGACTACCATCTTGCAGGCTAATTCTTTTGCTCCACACGGTATGCACAAAGGAGTTTTCCCTTTGGAACAGAAAAACTGCTCAGCAAGATGGCTACCACGCAATGCCTCTGTATGCTTCCCCAACTCAGTGTTTGCAATGTTACCCTTTAGAAAATGTGCTCTTTTGTTGAATCCTGTAAATTCTAACAACTTATCCGCGAGCAGATTGCCTACTGCAAAGCACCAAGAAACACGCTGTGGAAACAGCACGTGCACTCATGCACTGATGGAGGAGTGTAACTTCTTGGACCTTTTTATCGACAGAAAATTTTTCGCGTGTTTGTTTGGGTTTGCATACCGCGGTGGCATGGCACTCGTGGACAGGTGGTACGCGCGCGTTAGATGCCTCTTTGACCAATAAGATGTCAGGATTTGCCAGGTGTACGCGCGACAGGCTGTAAAGTTCGTGTAACACCCGTTCAGACATGCATTCTAAAATCGTGAAATATCAGATTAAGAGCGCATTTTGAATTGAGAACGGCAATAGTTCGACATTTGAAACAATTAGGAGCGACGCAGGAGAAAGATCGACATTTGAAGGCGTTTGGAACAACACTAGGGTGACTTAGTTTATTAATGTAAAAAAGAATGAAAGGAGAAACGATCAGTTTGTGGAATAGTGTTATGAATACGGAGAGCGAAATGGAACAGTCACTCTCTACAAACACACCGAACAAAATTACCTTTTATATTCGGTATCAGTGTTTTTCATAAAAAAAACACTTTAATGTAGATTCACGACTTTGTGATGTCAACACTGTTCGTTACTTCTTGTAAATAAAATCGTTTCTCCCGTTCTATTGTGTACTATTTACGACACACGTTTTTGCCTTTCTTTAGCATCTTCCAAGGCAACGCAACAACACGACGCGACGGCACGACGGCTCCCTTGCGCCGTGCAGTCGCGTCGTGTAGTTGCGTCGCCTTGAAAGAGGCCGGAGAGAGGTAGAAATATGTGTCGTAAATAGTACACCATACTTTTCCTCTCGTGTTAATTAGGTCTACCAAGCATGGAACGATGAAATGAGATACACGAACCAGGTCGCTGACTTTGGCATCACGACTGAGTCCTTTGACATCATGGCCGACATTCCGTATGCCAATCGTTCCTCTGCCGGACATCAACTGTCTCGGATGTTGCTGTACTGCACGTTTAATGGTTACCCTTGCTCACCGTTGTAAGTTTCATTAGTACTTTTCTGATCAAAGGCAATCCTATGCCTACCCCAAGACACCCCGTACACAAACTGTGTTTCTTCAACATCAGATGCATTGTCCTCTAATATGAACCCCTCCCCACAAAAAACCGGATTATTTAACTAAGACAAAACAATTTTCTAATTTAAACAAATACATATATTTCATTTGTTTTATTGCGGAGGTTCAATGGGGGCTGGTTTGCAGGCATGGCTGCCATCTTTTTGGAAGGGATTTTGTTCCACTGGGTATGCACGGAGGAGGTTTCCCTGTGGAACTGCCCTGCAAGATGGCTACCATGCAAAGCCTATATAAACCGAATATACAAATTTCTTAAGTGGATTCGAAAAGTTTAATAGGTTCATATATTTCGATGAACTATTCAATGTACGGTCCAAAAGTAGTCCTAAGTTTATGCCTTCAAAGGCAAGGTTATCGGACTTGGATGTACCATTCTGAAGGTTCAGGAGTCCGAAACAACGAAGGATACGAACGTCCACAGGTTCTGACCTTTGGCTTTGACTCGGAATACTCTATTTTTTCCGACACTCCAACTGGACCTTCTTGTAAATTCATACTGCATACAGTAAAACCAAACTGTCTGCTCAGAACATGATGTACAGTTTGTATATTTGAATCTCACAAACGAGCCCGTGACAGAGTCCAACTTTGGGAGTATCGATTCTTCCACTGATTAAACTTTCGTATTTCGAGTTGGCCATTGTTGGCGACGCACGTACGTTCCGATGCCGTCTTCTGGTTTTCCCTAATCAAGGATCTTTTCCGTACATAGCAAATACAGTCCTAACATTATGGTTAATGTTCTTCATATAACAGGAACTTCACCCATTTCTACAACTATTTTTATGGCAACTGCTATACGTTCAACTTTGACAGCAGGCTGGCACGCAGGGTAGCGCAGGCTGGTCCATTCTATGGTAAGACCTTGGTATATACGGCGAGTTTATTCATTTTCCATCTTACAAGCCGGCGTAAAGTCCTTGGGAATTTTGTGTTTGGCTGCTAGATTTATAAAACATGTTCTCCCACAGTTCAGGCTTGGCAACTTTCTTTCGTCGGTTTTCTTGCTTTTAATCACCTCCCCCCCTTTCTTTTCAAGGCCCACAGCCTTTCAACGACGGGAAAATCCTAGAATTTGTCGTGACAATTATTCGTGTGCCTTGGTAAAACGAAAATATGCAATGTAGACATTAAAAATGCAACACTAGCCGGTGATAAAAAACTAATGTTTGGAACAGCGATGAAAAAAGCAGTATTTGCTTGTACGTTTGACGGATGTCGCCTTTTCCAATCAGGGCTAACCATGGAACTCTTCGTTGAGCAGACTGAGTATGTACGTGGTCTGCAGAATTCAGCGGGGCTGAAGGTCTTCATCTCGGGGCAAAATCAAGTCCCGTTCCCGGAGGACAGAGGTATCATCGTGAGCCCTGGTCGCGAGACGTCCATCGCGTTGCATAAAGTGAGTCGACCTTGCAATCAAGCCTCCCCCCCCGCCATGGCGTCACCACGTGGAGCATTTCAGGCGATGTCTTGCCCGTTCCTGTTTGTTACATGAGTAATTTACGGTGTTTTTTCCACAACATATGGATATCAACCCCTTCGTGATTTTCATATTTGGAGAAGTGAAGGGGGGGATCGGGTAGAACCGAAAGTGGAGAGGAAACGCAAAAGATGGGAGAAGGTGATGAAAATAACCAATTGACTTGAGAGATCTGGGGACTTAACCCAATTCCTACTTTTGATGGTTGGCACGTTTTGGTGCCGGTAAGTGCCAGGCTCCTTCGGCAGAGCTTTGTATCCTCCTTCTTCCGAAGTTGTCTAAAAAAACACTTTGGCGTTCTGTTCTGATCTATTCTGGATACCACTCCGACTGGAACCACACTGCATGCACAAACTGTGATAGGAATTGAACATCCATGCAATCAATTTGTAATCGAGTCAATTAAAGTCTTTCAGTCTCAAACCAAGTTTGGCTCTTATATAATTTCAACGGAAAAGCATTCCATCGTCGTTGTTCAGCGCGTTCCTTATGGCTGATCTTATGAAAGGACTTGTGACTAGGTACACCGTATGTAGGGACTTGTAATGAACTCGACTACATCACTTTCTGCATAGAGGGTTTGCATAGCTGCCATCTTGTAGGCCAGTGTTTCTGTTCCACAGAATATACACAAAGGAGATTTTCCCGTTGAACACAAGTAACTGCCCTGCAAGATAGCTATCATGCAAAGCCTCTATTGGCCGACGCGGCCCTGTCTGCCCAGTAGGGTCTCCAAAGGCGTTCCCTTCAACACAATCTTGGCTACAGCGGCTATGGCCTTGCAGATCAATAATTTTGCTTGGCTTTCCTATCTTCTGGTGACAGTTTGAAAACTCACAGGCCTAGGCAAATCCGTTTTCGTGCGTCCATTATTGTAGTCCAAGTTTCGTTCTGGTTATCAACATCCAAGGATTATGGGTAATTCTAGAAATTAGGGGTCAATTTTTTTTCGTATATCTCTTGCATATCTGTCATATGATTTTCTGAATTCAGAACACATTTTCTAATTTTCCAAGAGTGATGAATTAATGCAAATTACCTGCCAAACAAATAGTTAATAACAGTTCCAGTGACATTTCCATGTCAAGCAACAAAAGTCAGATGTAACAGGGACACGAAAATGCCACAATTTTGGACCCCTAATTTCTGGAATTACCCATATCCCTTTTAGGAAATACCATTTACTGTTGAGTAACTTTGCAATACGACTGTCTCTATTAACGGGAGAGTAAATAAAGAAAGTCCATTAAACCGTATTCATACCCTTAATTGACATGCTGAGTTCAGACGAGGCATCTTGTTTTGAAACGCTAGCCTCACGATGTGTTTCCAATCTTCATGCCAAATAACACATGACTTGTACTAAGTGTCCGCTTGTTTGTTTGCTTTTTTCGGGATTGATGCTGGTCTCAATTAGACCATGCCCATCAATAAGTATGGAAGACTTAAAAATCACGTTGGACAATCAACATGGAATCAAATCGACATATCCATGTTGGTCACTCGTAGTAATGAAAGAGGATTTCTTGTATTGAAGCCGTCTGCTGGCAATATTTTTGATAAATGCGGCAATGGTTTAGTGTAGGCCTATATGAGAGAGGGGGAGTAGCTAGCGGTAGGGATAGCAGAAACAATCGAGGGTCGTAATTTTGGCAGTTTGGGGCTTTTTGCTACGCTTGTTCTTATGCAGTTAGGACATCTTTTACGTGGAGGTTGGCTTCTAGTGTGTGCAGTCAACGCTTCGATTCAGAACTTGAATAATAAAATGAAAAAAAACCTGTCAAATTATTACTGTGCTGAATAATATAAAACACAGTTTCATGTTTTACGCCAGATTTGGAGAAAATTGAGAGCGAGGTGTGAAACGCTAGACAAATTCTATAGTATAGGCTGATACCATCACATAATGCAAAGAATCGACGAACAAGATAAAAATGGCAATCTCAGGAAAATAGTCCATTCTTTGTTATATTTACCATGATAGACTTGACTAGCAGTCTCTGTCTCAGAAAATAATTCTCACTTTTTCCCCAGGTTCGGATTGATCGATTGGGGGCGCCTTACACAAGTTGCACGAGCGATTTGCCGACTATATTCAGTACCTTTTACGGTAATGTGGATTACAGCTTGTTGGTAGGTGTGATTTTGTTTTCTTCACTTGGGCATCGGTTGGCTGTGTAGTAAATAAAATATCAATGAAAAAGAACAGGCCATTCCATTTTATTTGAAACGAAAACAACATTAGGCCAAGTTATAAACTATCAAAGAAACAAGTCGATCAGTTCATACCACAGCATAAAACCTGAAATACAGTTCTGTTTGACCCGGACGTACTTGACACTTCCGGGCTACTTCTCTTTCCTATTCCCTTTTTTTCCCTCAGGCATGTGAAAAAAGCTGTGTTGCCCAGGAAATCCTCGAGATGTGCCACTGCGCAGACCCTCGGTACAGGTTCACTGACGAAACTAGTTCATGCAGCTCGCAAAATCAGTCTCAAAGTAAGGACTATAACTCAGCCCATGTATACATGAGATACTAAAAACCCAGTAAAGACATTTTGTTTCCAGGGGTATTTCATACCTCATTCTCAGTTTGTCCTGTTTGACATAGCAGTGCCTTTCCCTTTTTATGCCCTTTTACAGATCTGCAGTTTCGAGGGGAATATTTTGGTAGAATAATTAATATAGGCCTAACCACCTTAATAATATTTCTCCTTTTGGCCAAAACAATAAGTCTCCAGTTTCTGGTCCGGAAATGGCTCCGAAAGTTGTGCGGCGACGCGGCTTTTTTCTTATTTTACCCTCACTTTTTTCCTGGAAATGACGCGCGTATAACGGGTGATCTCCATTGCCACTGCATACGCCGGCCGCTACGAAAACTAAAATAGACTGGTCCCCGCTCTTCTTGTTTAAAAGCATTTTAGAACATATTACTAAACCGTAACCCATCAAAAACGCGTTACAAATACGCAGTAGCAGGACTCCAGTCAATCATCCAAGCTTGGCAGCTTTTTGAACATCGTTTTATACCAAATAAAAATACGTTTTTATTTTGTTGACGCGCAGGCCTACGGCCAACGCGCGTGCTGACCGGAAACCAGAGACTTTTAAGTTAATTTTGGACTTCGTGATCTTATTATTGGGTAAATCAACAGGCAGTGTTTCTAAAAAAAGCAAAGGAGCATATTTGAGATTCATAATTTTGTAGAAATAGGTTAACTATTGAAATGAACTGAACTGTTGCATTTACATGTCAAAACACTATTGAACTAGATGAAGTGTTGTGTTGAATGTTACGGTCTCGAATAAAAACTGTTGAACGCATGTTTCATTTGCCACGGAACAGCTGAAAAGATTGATACCGAATACACATTGACCTAATGAGACAAAGGATAACACTATCAGAGATTATGGTTACTTATCCCATCCAAACAGGAACACGAGAGGGCGTGTTATCGCATAACAACTGCAATTGCTACATCATTCAACAAAAGAGGCGGAAGAAAATCGCTACTGTCACTAATAGCTAGTTCAAGAAAATAAAGCTTCCAATGTGGATTTTATAGTCATGTTTTTTATTAGAAAAGCCAGAAAACAATAAGAACAATTGAGCTTTGGAATTAAAAACAAAATAAATTGTTTAGGACAAAGGAAAAGCTACTGCATGGCAATATCCTATTCATAACACTCCATTGTACCGATGAAGGATACCATACTTTATTATAACTGCAATGCTTGGGGCGTCGGGTGGGGGTGACACTCAGCCCCACCCCGTCCACCCCCTCCATCCCTTCCACCGGATCCTTGGCAAAGACCACAACAAACAGCCAATGACGAAAAGACGTCCACAGTGTCACTATATGTAGCTTGATTCCATTCACAGTGGCCTGTACCCGCAAGATACTTCTGGCGTACGTCAACAATAGCCTTCGATGCAACTGCCCACTGCCATGCAGGTATGAAGTTTTTTTTGTTTAAGCTTGTAAACGGTTACAAATGTCAACCTCACAACATAGTTAAATTGAGGAACCGGAAAATATCATTTTACATGGAGAAACTAGAGAGCATGGCCCGTTTCTACATTCCTTGAAGACTGATTTGTCTTGTGGTAGTTCATGAACGGCAACATTCAATAAAAATCTAATCATTATGTGTATGTGTACATATATTCGCTCAGGAGTCGTGGTCGTGGAATGAACAAATTACCGGTGTATTACCGATCCCTGCCGACCCAAACAATACAGAAGTTCACAAACTATGATCCAGATTATGACAGTAGTGTACATCGATTAACTTAAAAGTGTGACAAACGTCGGAGTGATGGCCCAAGTTACTGTCCAAGGTCCAAGACTGCAAAGTAATCAACTGGCCATGAAAACAATTCAATCAAAAATTTGTCGCAAAGTCATGACTTTTTGAATAATTTTGTACACCCCTTTCTCTCTTTAGTGAGGTTGAGTTTGAAGAGACGGTATCGGCTGCCTCATGGCCTAATGAAAACTACAAAGTAAGTAGGCATATTATCATTTAACATATAAATCGGGATCTTTTTGTGAAGACCAGCGTTAGAATTAGATGTACCGGGTTTGCATGATGAATTCCACAGTTTCAACGATATCTCAGGCCCAGCAACTCAACAATCCCGACCCATACAGAACGCAGCCCCACTGAACGCAACCCAATGCATCAGCCCATTTAAAGCCTACTCAGTCAGCCCCAACCCCACACCACCCTGCACATCATCACAGAACGTGTAAATAAATTGGTACAGTAAGTCCCCCGCCCTGACAAGACTCAAGCGATTTGATGAAGAAGCTTTAATGCATTTTCCATCGTTCGTGTGTCATTGATGAAATTCTTGACATACTTGGTGTCTGACACCCGGGTCGCTGCAGTTGTTTTAATGTGGGGATTCTCTTGTTAGGTCTTCTGGGATTATGACAGAGTGAATGACATCACATGTGCTTTTTTATTTCTTTCACAAGTTGCCTCTACACGTACATGCCAACAGTGGGACACCGCTACACGTATTACGGACGCTGCAGTGAACATTGTGTGCACCATGTTGTGTTCGTTACAGCGGCGATCCACTGTATTAGTTACATGGTGTCAATGATACTAATTGCTCCAGATTGCATATTAAATTGAAACAATGTTTCATGTTAAAACATTTCAGTTTGCTCTGGAAAATATCATCACACGTCTTTCTGCAGATTTTTCCTCTGCCATTGAAGAAGACGATCGGTTTATTGAGTGAGTATCCGACTCCACCACGAGAAAAACAACACAAATAACAGAAACCCTGCAATTACTTTTGTTCAATTAAAAGTCTATTATTGGTACAGATATGGTCCAATCAAGGTTATAACCTGTGACGAATGCTGCAATGTGCGTTTACATGACCACTTCCCCCATCCACAGATACCCCAGAGTCTAAGAAATTGTAACCATCAGACAGGGAGTAATGGCCAAGACCGAAAAATGAGAATGGCAAGAAGACATTTTGAGTTTTAAAAATGCAACTCTTCCAAGAAGCATGTAACATTGGGGATCTTTAAGAGCAATGTATCAATTGAAACAATAATATTCCAAGTGTTTTTTTTATTTCGAAATCGAAGGAAAAACGTGGTGAAACTGAACGTGTTTTTGTCCAGCTTACAGTACCAGTATATATACCAAACGCCGGATTACAGCGTAAGTATAAACCTCCTGTTTAATGTTTGATGTGAAACAGTTTGCTTTAGGCCCCTATGGACTATGACTATCACATAGCTCTGTCTTGAATACTGTTTTTCTTTATTGGCCCCTAACGATCACTTGACAGGACAACATAGCACCGTGTATTTACACTCACTGTTAGACGCCATTCCAGCAAGCGTTGTATGCATAGGGCCACGCGCGCTTAAGCACGCACGCACGTGCCCCGAGGTATACAGCACAGTGCAGGAACCGCCAACCGCTTATTTCTATCGCCCTTAATTCCCCCAGAAAAACAAGTGAAAAACATTTTCAAGACAGAGATATAACTAAACAATTGTTGACTGTTGTGTTGTAAGATAAGGATGTCTTGGCCTCAGGCTCAGTGAGTCCCTTGGGTTTTCGAAAGTCGTATCCCTCACAGTTGTGGACGGTTTTTAACGTCGGTTGGTATAAACTACACTCGGAGCAAGGTTGCCTGAGGGTTTTCCTTGCCTACATGAGAACGGAGACTGTTGCCTGGCCATCGTATTGCTGAACAAAATGCATTCGCGTGCAATAGCAGGTTTCTAGCCCTTAGTCAATCACAAGGAAGCCAGAATAGACAGTTGAATCACCCACTGTCCCTTTCTTCTTTCTACCTTGCCCCCTTCAGCAAGAGAACTTGATCAGCGACCTTGGGGGTCAGGTGGGCCTGTGGATGGGATTCTCCATTCTGACATTCTTTGAGATCGCAGAGCTGGTCCTCGACCTGTTCGTCTACACGCGAGGCAAGTCCGCCAACAGGGTGTCACGAGAGGCGAAAGTCGGGGAGGGTCTCGTCGGGATGTCCCTCTCACCCTCAGTCAACACGCTGACTCCAATCGGCTGACTGAAGACGCGTTGCTCGCTAGATGGAAAACAGCAGAAGTCATTGTGTCCCGTCAATCGATGGTGTATCCATAGGGGGCGGGGCAAGTTGAGCCCTCGAGGGGACATGCTTCCACATAACATACCAGTTTGCAATGTAACCTACATCTTAACAGATCGAAATCACGTGATTAAATTTTGAATGTTTTGCCAGCAGTTTACAACTACAATCTACCAATAACTGTTTATCAGTCGAAAGTCTCAGGAATCAACAAGTTTATTGTGTAGTCGCCACATCGCTCAAATGATCAAGAAACAAAACGAATTCGGACAGAACCAAAGAAACCAACAGAAAAAGAAATTAAGGTAAAAGCCAAAGTCCTTGTTACTGTCCTTCGGAGTTTATTAACTCATACTCTGAAATAATTTGCAAAATTACTACCAGCAAGTATTTCCATAGAGACTCCCTTTTTTAAAAAAAGCATTTTGGTATGAGAGAGTCTGGCTCGGAAAATTATACTTTATTGCACTTTTTGATTATGATTGCAATTTCCCAAGGTACACATCCTTTCAACCAGGAGAATACATTTAACGGCGGGGTGTTAAATTTCGAGTGTAAAAACTAATACCGAATGAATTGTTCGGGGATTGTACAAACCTTGCAATTTCTAAATAGTAATAACTTGCCTTGCATTATGTTGTGGTGCCGTTCTGAGGTCTAGGGAAGGGTCCATTGCACTGTGTCTATCCTTAGACAAAGTATCTGAGTGCAGTGTTTATTTTTAAAAAATAGTGATTTTATCGGGTGCAAAAACCACTTGGCAGGAGGCAATGTCGGCCTGGGCACCGCAGGGGTAGCCAACCCTTTACGCGTCGCACACCGAATATAGGCATCCCAATACGTCGTTTTTAACGTCGATCTGCCCACTTCCGCGTTTGAGAACGAGGCTGTAATGTGTCAACTTCAATTCTTAATACTATCAGACGATTGAAATTAAGGAGTCAAGACCCAAAATACATAAAGGTACGTAAAATTCAGACTTTTCAGGCTGCAAATTATTGTGGAAGAGTCTTTCAGGAAGACTTGACACGTAAAGCCAAAAGAACAAATAACGGCAATTTACTGCGCACTAACGTACCTGCGATGGTCGTGTATCTGTATGTGCAGTAGGCGTGGTTTAAACTGAAGTAACATCACACTTACGAACCGGATACTGCATGTACGGTGTCGACTCTGCGGACGCGTGCGACAAAGTTCAACCATAGAACCTCGGTTTTAATGCGGGTATGCGCAGACGGCGCTAATGTAAAATCCCTCTATAAGTTGTCGAATTATTTCAGTCCGACGGGATTGTTATCTACTTCAGAGTAACTAATCGAGAGTAGCAAGACCGTGTGCCTCCCGCTTCACTATAGCGGACCATCTATTTTGTTTGTTATAAGGCAGGTGCTGTCGCCCTGTTGACCGTAAACTTTAGGCCCAAAGATTTCTGAATTTAACTCCGCCTCGGCCAATATGATGACTTGCCATAAGTAACTCAAGTGAACCACTCTCACACCGGTCAGCTAACTTTGTAGTGTTAAAGTACCTGTGCCTCCTGTTAAAAAAAATAAACGATTCGAAGATTATATAAAAGCAACATTTTACATTTGCTGTTAGGTCTGCATATAAATACAACTGGGCGCACAAACGTCGAGCACTTGCAATTCGCAATTTTATTCACGATGTTTTTCAATGTAATTGCTTTCTCTCATAGAGACCAACTTGGCGACGCCAATCGAGATTGGAAAATTCCAATATGATTACAAATTTGCAATGCACATTTCCTGACTACCAGCTCTTTAAAAAAAAAAAACGAACACTCGATTTCATGCAGACAAACTAATTAAACGACCTTGTTTGAATTCTGCAGGGAAAATGTAGAAACCCTAAGCATACATGTATCAACGTTGGCTACAATTATCGTACAGGCGCTGCCACTGGCGCCAGGGAACATTTGAAGACCATTTAAACTTTATGAAGAATAATATTCTCCATCAGCAGGGATATATATATATATATATATATGGATATATATTTTTTGTGTGTTGGTCGCGGCCCAGCTATAACACGCCCCAAGATTAGCGCGCAACAAAAACGTAGGCGCCTAAGTAGTTTTAAGCCTGGTTTCAATAATATGGTTGTTTGTAACGCAGACAGTGTCGAGTCCGGGCGGCCTGTTCTTGACACAGGTTTCCTGTTCTCGCGCTCGAACGGCGGGAAACAAAATTGCCACAATTTCAAAATAATCGTACCAAAGAAATCTGCAGCGACCACTGTACACGAAATGTTAATGGTACGTTATCCAAACACGTGGACCACCAAAATGCTTGGCTTTATCAGGAAATTATGACGGGGCGTGGAGATTTCTTCAAAATGCCGAGTATCTTTTGATAAAAGGATGTAAGGGCATGACTAGGGGTGTGGGCCGACATGATTATTATAAACACCTCCCTGTGTGTAGTTTGATCGTATTCCTACGAGTAGTTAGTTAATCCTCAGTGGTTTGTTAAATTCCTTTAGGGATAAACATCACCGAGAAGGCCAGGGCAATGCTCTGAAAACATGTTGTGTTTAGTCGCTCTCTGAGGGCGACATTTGTCCAGCGAGACGTCGGCTATTATTCGAAGGGTGGAATTATAACGTCTTAGCCGATTCACACAGGCACGTCTGGAGGTGTATATGATATGCAGACGTGAAACCAATGGTCATGCAGTCGGGTCATGCACGTGGTCTCTTGCGCAAGAGCAACTTTACAGTGCTTCTAATGTACTTACCCTGCATGTAGAGTTTCGCTCCTTGCTCACCATATTTACGATGCCCTGCCGCGTGCGGTGCGTAGCACGTGTGAATTCAACTGTGGAGCGCTGTGTTTGAGGATGGGTTGGGTGTCGCCAAGAACTAATACGTGGCATTGTAATCTTTGTCAATACATGCTGGCTATGCAAACGTGTGGAAATTATTTTCCTGGTCTTTTGCATGTAGCGCGGTGGACTTGAGTATGAAGCGTCTTTATTGCTATTATTTATTTACGCTTTCTGTATTATCATATTTGTATTTTGTGGGCCCCATTGGCCCCTTTATCAACTTAGCACGAACCCCACTCTTATAGTCACAGCCCCATATGCCAGGGTGAGGTGCTGACCCCGAGTATAAATTTGTGTTACATTACGTTCCCCCATTTGAGGGTCTTAGGAATATGTGATATCCCGATGCATGCATTTTGTAAATGCGCAAACCTATTGGTTTGTTCCCGCTCGACAAACACTGTGTCTGTATTCATGGTTTTCCTCCCAGGATTGTAAAACTGAAACCTAGAGTCACATTAAATGATTCATAGGCCACCAGTGTGTCACCAGTGCAAGGATCCAGCTACAAGTGACTGAATTACTGAAAGGCTATGGCAAACAGTGCTTCTGAGGTGTTAAGTGATGTTAACACGTACATGAACTGGTATTCACTGTTATTAACCATTGCATATTTCATAGAAGTGCCTGCTTGTTGCTCAAATATCCATTCTATATTATAAACAGTCGCCATCCTTTACACAGTCTGGTGGTTGTTATTAACCGTGTTATCTTCGCTTCAGACCTGTGCACCATTACGTAGTACAGATGGAGCTATACTGATTTTAAGGGTGCTACTCTATCACCCTAAATAGCCTCATTAGTGTTTGTGTAACATTATCATTGGGCAAGTTTGTTGAAATTAGGGGGAAGGAAGAAGCTTTTGTAGGAGGTATCAAAAGTTTGGACCATTTTTCATGTAATCTTTTATGACCTGGCGTGGGGCTACGTTATTGGGCTATTTACTCGCCTTGGGATGAAAGAGATATCAAATAGAGTAAACGTTTTCTGTGGACTGGGGACTTCAGGTTGGAAAAGCGCCCGTTGGATCCCTGGATCGGTTGATGGGTGACATCACAGATGCACTTAAAAGTATTGGAACACGGCGTCTCTTCCAGCAGGCTTATTCGTTTTTTACAGTTTTTGTGTAGGCCTACCAAAAAGCTTTGCGGGGCTTTACCATGAAAAAAATGCTCACACATTTTGCACATGCCGGTAACATTATTGATTGACCTTACAAAAAGTGTCAGTACTGCAACCCTTGGTTGTGATAGGACGCGTACATGACCAAGATTATGGTTGATTCCTTAGATTCAGTTCATTTAGACTGAGCAATACCGAACACGTGTCGAAGGGAGATTTCACAAGAGATGGCCACGAAAGCAACATTAAAACTTGATCCAGTCACAACCCAGACATGACCTTGGCACTCGATCGACTACCCACCGCTACTTATAAGTGAGGCCAGTGCTTGCTCGAGCCTTCTGCTTGCAAATTACGTGACGCTGACTATACTATAGCCTCACTTGTAAGTTTGCCTACTGTATTGCATCATACGATAATCAGCATCACAGTTCTTGCAGGCTATTTTGCTGCAAAGGTCTCACTTATAAGTAGCGGTGGGTAGTCGGATTGGGTGACTTGGGAGTCTTGGAGGCACTGATACGCGTCAGTGGGTACATCATTATGCTCAGTTTGGATTATTTTGCGGCAAAAAAGGCCTGACTATGGAGTCCAGGAAGACCAATCAGCGGTGCAAATTACACGGGTGCTTGGGCGTTGCACTGTGGGAATGGGGCGGACCATGGAGGAAGGAACACAGACGTCGATATTGCAGACTAATACAGAGTTTATAATGCACGGGCATTATATACAACGTCTCCTACGCGGTTGTGCTTGGCATGTGGCCGAGTCTGGCGTACAGCAGAAGGTGAGTACACTATTTACGGCAATTATAGTGTGTGGGAACTGGAGAAAGAGCGGGCTGGAAGCTTTGGGGATTTTGGTTGGCTTAGCATTGCAGTCACCAAGAATGGACTGGCACCTTTTTATTCCCGTGCTTCGTTCCTGTGAGGTTATAGCGTGCTGGAGAGAGACTCTCACGAATGGTGCAAACCAGCGTCACGAACACTGATCGAGATCCAGATCTGTGTAAAACAATCTGGCCCATAGGGATGAGTGCGAGTAAGCCGAGATCGTTTGTTGCCATATACTGCGCATGCTCGCCTTTTATTATACATCTATAATGACATCAAGAGAGAATCGCAGTTGATGAAATCGAGCGTGCTATTATTAGTGAACATGGGTCTGTGACATACCTAACTCGCATAATCGTTGGCTGTTTCGAAGGTTACGTTACAGTGCTCAAATGATATTACCGAAAAGCATAACAGGTTATTTTCAATTGGCAAGTTGTCTTAGAATGAAAAATTTCATATTTTTTGCCACATGAAATTTGGATTCAGAAAATGTTTTACACAACGAACAGATTTTATATAAAATATAATAAACCCCGCACCGCGAGCATGAAATTCTGATGAAACTTGTTTTCTTGCGTTTGTCAGACTAGTGCGACTGGGCAGAGTCACTGAACTTGGATTCGCCATCTACACAAACGCTACTCCACACCCAGAGTTACCTAAGATGATTTCCCGTAGCAAGTTTCTCACGCAGAAGAGCACCCCGGCGAGGAACGAGAAATTTGGACGCTGGATCCTGGCAGGAGTGCTGCTGAATTTATGCCTTGGCATCTCTGTCTCGGTAAGTCGTAGCCCTGCGCTATCGTATCTATGTTCCCATCTGTCTCGATAAATCTTTGCTCAACACTGTCGCATCTATGATGCAATCTTTTTCTCAGAAAGTCTTGGCACTGCGCTATCACCTCTTCTGTCCAATTTGTTTCAGAACGTCTTGGCACTGCGCTATCGCCTGTCTTGTCCAATCTGTCTCAGAACGTCTTTGCACTGCGCTATCGCCTCTTTTGTCCAATCTGTCTCAGAACGTCTTGGCACTGCGCTATCGCCTCTTTTGTCCAATCTGTCTCAGAACGTCTTGGCACTGCGCTATCGCCTCTTTTGTCCAATCTGTCTCAGAACGTCTTGGCACTGCGCTGTCGCCTCTTTTGTCCAATCTGTCTCAAAACGTCTTGGCACTGCGCTATCGCCTTTATCTTACTCTGCAAGTCATAGCGGTTCTATTTCTGTTTCAATAAGTCTTATCGTTGCTGTATGGCCCCGTTATGCACTATTCCGTCAAACTAATACGTAAGCACGACTCGTGCCTTACCTCTCTCTTGTGTGAAACTTTCCAGCAAATTATAGGAAATTTTTAGCCGTTTTAGCACACCATAGACTCACCTACACTTTCCAACGATTATTTTAAACAAACAACTCGTGTATAAATTAATAAGCCCAAGTGGTGGCTTCAGCAGCCATTTTCCACAGTACGATAAGGTCTTGAAAGGACATTCAAAATCAATGCTAAGCAATGCAATTGTTTATAACGTCAAAACTAAAACGGAACTTTGTGTAACAGGGCCATGTGGTCCTTCGGGAAGATCGTCGTGAGAAAGATCGGGAGTCGGAAGTGGCCGTTGCGCACGGAATTCAGCACGATGGAGTTCTCTCGTCCACATCGCGCACTGTAGGTGAAGGTACGTGAACTGCTATGGAAAAAAAAGGATACTTGCGCTTCAAAGTCTTATACCAGGCAAGATATGGGGACGGAGGGGTACCCCCCTTAACTGTCCAATCCCTATACACAGTCTAGACTATTGTTACCTAACACATCCCCCCTAGAAGTCTGAAAAGAATTCCTGGGATTCTGATCAAACAATGACCAACACAAAGGCGGGGAGGGTCTCTCCGTCCCATATTTTGCTTCAAATGCAAAGTCTCCCCTACAAACGTTGGTCCATGCACCCCTCCTGGCGTGGAATCTCATGGTAAAAGCCTCATTCATGAATGTCAGTTGATAGTTGGACCTTGGGGGAAGGGCACAGAAGGAGTTAAAACTCTACCACATCAAAGTGCTCGATGATCATCGCCACCCGGTCAGACGAACAATACAATAGTACACATTCCAAAAATGCCTGATTACTGCCTGCAGCTTAGCCGGAAAAGTGGGGCCAGTAATATCCTAGCAATACTTGTAGTGTTTTCTTTGCATTTAACTGCAACTTGTCGCAGTGACCGGGAAATAGAAAGAAAATATCTAGCATTAGGTTTACTTTTGCCGTTTTGAATAATTTTTTTTAATAAAAAAATGTTGGTGCACTTTTCCATTATCCATGCAATGTTTGTAATTTTACTTTGTCAATCGGAAATATAAGTTTTCACAGTCTTTCTACGAATTTGGCTAAGACTGGCCAACGACATGTTGACCACCACAGGACAGTTAAGTTCACGAAAAACAAAATACACTGTTTCATCACAAGGAGTGTTCATGAAATCTTATAACATACTCTTTTTGTGTAAATTCAGTAATAACAATGATTCAAATAAAACACAAAATCTTATAAACAATTTGGCCATTTATCCCCAAAATAAGTCCAGAAGAAAGCGTTCGATAAGGGCAATAACTGCACATGACCACTTACGAAACACAGTCTAATACAAGCAACTATGCAAGCATTAAATTAGATGTTGTTATCAGATCATACTAAGCACCAACGATTGTATGAATATTCAACTTCCTATATTGCAGTACACAGCGTTTTAAGGATGCAGATTGCCAGCGAAAAAAATGCAGCGATAATCATGGGATACAAAGGGGGCTTATGGTTGTGAAACAGGTGGTGCGTAGCAAGCATTTGCTTCGCTCCGGCTATGGACATACCGGGCAGAACAGAAAGCGGTAATTGGCCAGGTGTTGTAGCCCGGGCAGTTCAAACTCCTTCTGTGGGCTTCCTCCATGGTCGGACATAGTGCCATGCGTTGGAACATGAAATTATTGTTGTCACTAGTTACGTCATAACCCTGCAGCCAACCAAATTCTACCCACTTGTGTGATTTTTTTTTCCAACCACCGGTGATATGAATCTTCCAAACTGGTTACTATGTTGCTTTGTGCAGGAGTTCACAATTAGTTACAGCTGGCTGCTGCAAGAGTTTCCCGCTTTTACTTTGATTGCTTGTTGTCCGACAAAACTTGCACTTTATTTCATTTTGTGAAAATAATTCTGCTCTGTAAATATATATGTCTAGGAATAGTGAGGGAAAAGTGCGTTTGTGTTATTCAATTTGCAGAGACACGCGCTACTAGTTTGATCTGATCTGTTTTCTTTCTTATGAGATTTCGGTTCTTAAAGGAGCCTCAAGCTGACCCCTTGATGGCGCACCTCCGGAACCCTTGTTTTGGAATTGGCAGTTATTGCCCCTTCGTTTACTTCCTAAACGAATCACACCTGAAAAGGGCCATAGTAAAACATTTACAAGCATTGTAATACGATATTATGGAAACGGAAAAATTGCCTAACATAAAAAATATTTTGCTAAAGACTGACCTGTCATTGCCAAAAATCTAAAATATACAACGAGGAGTGAAAGGGGGTGTTTTCCCACTTTATGATTAGTTAAATGAATGAACTCAAAGAAATTATGGGCCTTAGCAAATAAAGACTCGTTCTCACATATTGGATGGAAAATAAAACGTGCATGAAGAAAGAGACCCAGAAGAGATTGTGCTGGAGTTGACGGGTCATAATGACTTTCTATTTACTTGTCTTATTGTGATTTTTTTCCACAGCATGATTGAAAGACACAATGATAAGAATTCTGACATGAGCGTATCTTATGCGGTGGCTTCAGGGAGAGATATCACGGTCTTGTGTAAAATCCCTATAGGCGGGCCGAGCGAGGGTTCCAGAAGCTTGCTGCGCGATCCTTCATTCTCAAGCTCTATGAAACTCTTTTGCTTTGACAGTGACAAAAAAACAGGAGGGTGAAGGACTTCAGTCATATTCGTTAGGCGGAGACACTTACGTCCGATGGGGGCGCACTACCTGTCCGGATATCTCGAGTACAGAGCTAGTGTATACAGGTACGTATGGCTAGTTGTTGCATGCCCAAATGCCCAAAAGCCTGTAGACATCGGGTGATAGGTGAAAACGGTGATTTCAACGCGTCAAGTATCGATGCAATGATTTTTTTCCAGTAGAAACCTTTTTATCTAGCTGTACAATGCTTTGAAGGTTTGCATGATAATGAAAATGGGCATGGGTATGGAAAGTAGCTTTTTAAATTAAAAGGCTCAAGAATAACAGTTAAAATCCCCCAGTGGAAATTTATATGTATTGAAACAAGTGGTTTATTTTTCAACTGTTTCTGTATGAGAACAGTTGAATAAATAGTAAATGCTTTCTAGACACCTGGTGACTATTTACAAACCCGAGCGCGGAAGCATTTTGAAAAACTCCAGTCAAATATGTTTATCTTACTAGTATGAAGTGATTTTCTCTCACACCGGTCATAAATAAATGTTCGCTTAACTTTGCACCGACAATAGGCGGGAATGACTTTGCCCGGCAATTGAAATTTAAAACCTGGGAGAGGACGTCCTGACGTGTTCATGTTACAAATGTACCTCTGTAATGTGTATTACAGAAGCCCATCCCCTAGTCAAACTTTTTTTGGGGGGAGGAGTTTATATCTCTCATTTGTCTGGGATTTTCACCCACTACTCGTGGCTCCATTAAAATTTGAAACAAAATCTGAAAAGGGACAGATTTTAGAATCATATAAAGTTTTTTTGGTGTTGGTTGCGACTGTATTCGCTTTTAACACACGAAATTTTACTCCATGTCTGTACGCAGGGTACACTGCAGGGGAATGGTATTCATTTGGCGGTACATCGGACTTTGTCTGCCTTCCACAAAAACCTCAGTGGGGAGACTCCTATAAGGATGGGTTCCAATCATTTTCCCATTTATATGGAACGGAGTACCGGGTTGGCACTTTCGATCCCTTTTCCCACGTGAACACCGAATTTCTGAACAACCACGCCGTGCCCTGCGCCGTGTGCCGCCTGGTCCACAAGACTAAGTTACTTTACCCGGCCAAGCTCAGCTGCCCTTCCGGATGGATGAAGGAGTACAGTGGTTTCCTCATGGCTGGGTACTACGCCCATGGGCGAACCAAAGCCTTGTGCGTGGACGAGGCGCCCGAGGTAGTGTTCGGTAGTAGTACCGCTAAGTACGGGGCGCTGCTGTACGTCATGGAAAGCGCGTGCGGATCCCTTCCTTGTCCCCCTTACGTTAACGGGCGTGAAATAACGTGCACTGTCTGCAGTATCTAGAAATGACGTACAGATCACATCATATTGACATTTCGACACTTGACAAAGAGTATAACTGTATGGTATACGCCACATGCTTCCGTAGATTTATTTTGTAATTTCTGCTGAATTAACTTTCCGCATATAAAGACTTGCTAATAATTTCAAAGAATTAAAGAGAAGCTTGTTTTTACTCTGGCGAATTTATCTTTACATCGATAGAAACCACCATACCGCTTCTCATACTGATATAATTTCAGTACTGAATTCAATGAACTCGCTATCGAGTTCTGTCCGTCGCACTTCATCAGTTCAACCCTATCACAAGGATGACACGGTGCATGGAAGTAATTACAAGACCTAGCCCTTTTATTTGTGTCTTTAATTGGTGTTTTAGGCTCCAGTGCCAGGGTTAATAAATTGGCAGAGACGTTAAGTAATGGCCTCACATTTCTGCTCATATTGGCCTACAGGAGATTCCGAGGCTACAGTTTTGCGTTGCTGCTGTTAAATTGGTTTTTGCATATTTTTAAGACGGAACAGCATTACCTATCACATGCACCTAGTATTTATCTGAACACTTTGTTGTGGCTTAATTAGAAAGTTTCGAAAACACCTTACATAACACGCCAGTTTGCAAACCTTGATCCACAAAGGCCTTAGATGTCTCAGGGCGGTACAAGCGATTTGATATTTTGGAAAGTAGCTTGCATCTTAACCCTAACATTCCTCAATCCCCCACCTGTCCAAGGATTGAGGACTGTTAGGGTTAAGTTATGATGCAGTCTTCGCTGGGTACTCCCCATCTGGTAGGAATTCCGGTGTTAAATGATTTTTCCTTGATGTTGCCCCCTGATTCATGAGAAGTAGCCATCAAGTCCCTGTTTCACGAAACCAAAAATTGCACACTACAACAGCAGGCTATTACATGCGATGCTGCATAACTTTAAAAGGGGTTGGCAAAATAGGGCTGAGTAGAGTTGTCTCGGGTGGACATACTTGACCAGCATCTGGATTCGAACTGCTGATCCTATCATAATTTACTCCAAACATTTTCGGCTACTTTTAGGTCAAGGAAAACATTTAAATGCCTTATGGTATGAAGCTATACTGGTGTAATACATAACATTTTAATGCTTTCAAGTCATATCACAAACTGAAAGACGGGCTATTACAAAAGATTTCGTTTAGGTATCCGAGGAAATTCAAATCCCCTTCCGTTGGTGTATATGGTGTGCCTTTTCTTCGAGGGCTATAATTATTATTATCAATTACTGGTGAGTGGATTTAATTTGTACTAAACTTCTAACCATGGAAAATATGCAATTTTGAGCCCTTTTTTGAAGAAGTTGGTATGTGATCTGGTGTCTGAGTTAAATAAACCCAACTAGTGCCAACCACGTTGAAAACAAACGGGCAGCGAACGGTCATAGCATTCCACTCTCTTTTTCTTCCTCATCCTTGACATGCAGAAAAGTACACGCCAAATCTTAATGTATCCATGTATAGAATGGATAGGTTCTTGGAAAACCCTCCTGACGACGCAGTCACTTTTAACTTGAGCAGTTTACAAAGCTTGAGCCTTCAATACAGCGATCGCTCCACAGGGTTTGAGCGTGGGAAGCCCAACTTAACTTAAATGCAGGTATGGCTCATTCACAGCAACTGACAAAGTACAGAGGAAATAACTTATCTATGTACTATCGAGTAGACAGCACTAAGCATTATGAAGACAGCCAAAGAAAATGCTAGCGGATGACCAGAATATTAGCAAAGTCAAATTTAGGAAGAATTAAGAGTTATGATAATACAATAAATCTAGGTTGGTAGGAAGAAGATCATGGTCTCCAAGGAATTATCCAAAAAAGATGGCAAGAAAATACTGAATAACTTACATGACTGTTTTTTCTGGAAGGGGTGATTATGAACCGAAGGCTTACTGCTTGAGGAGGCCCGGATAACAAACGAAAAGGGTCACAAATCTGCTTCAGTTTGTCAAAAATGGGCAGACAAAATGGCTACCCAAACAGTGTTCTCAAGGTAAAACCATGGTCTGGCTAAGAGCTGGATATGAAAACTATGAAGAGCGCCTCCAAGCCTCAGGAGATGGAGAGAATGACAGGCTGGCCTTATGTACAAACTAAATGACCACCAAGACCAATACAGTGTGTGCAGGGTTAAGTTGTCCATGTACAGGTACCCAGACCGAAGCCTTTTGAGAGAATTACTTTGGTATAAACATCATTTCTCTGTGGGCATTGTCTGCCTTTCAATCCCTTCAGGAAGAGGGGAATGTGATCCTCCTCAAACTCGTCATTTTCGTAAACGTTAGCCCCTTCCCCTCTAAAGCGATACCTGAAGACATGAAGTCGACTGGAAATGCCCAAAGGTCTTTTGTGATATGCTGTTGTCGGGGTCGGTCGGGAGTTTGCAGCTCAACGTTACCAGCATGTCTAAAAGGGGAAAATACATGTATGTATTCAAAATTGGATACTGAAAATTGCACGAAGGTTACTCTGGGTAATAAAAAAAAGCGATTTATATAGTACGGTCGTCATTTATCAGGAATGTGAGCAACAGTGAGGAGTAGGAATGAAATTGGCCCAAAAAATGTTTCTGAAGATTAAAGTAATATCCCCCAGGCCACCCGTTTTAGTCGTGGTGGCTACCAGACCCATATTCTTACCAAGAGAAGAATGTTTTTGTTCGGAGTCCATTCGGCCAACTTTAGACCAACTATAGACCAGTCACTCTCTAGAGGGCAGCAGATGGGATCTGTGACACAAGATGCACAAGGAACTTCGCACCCTGGGAAAAAACGGTAGGCGCTGTGTTCATTGCTCTCCTTGAGAACTGAACAAGCGTACGGGGTGGGGGTAGTGGGATATGTTCCCATTGCCGACTTTGAAAGGCTGGAATGCAGGAAACGGTAGAACCAGATCTGAGTGTGAGGTGGGGGATTGAACAAGAATGGGTCGAGGGTCATTTCTTGGGGGGCGGCATCCGATATTAAGACGCATAGGGTGAGAGTAGCGCCAACGTCATACTTTGGAACCAACATGGCTTGTTTTTATGTGTGCATTAGAGCATGCAGCTTTTGTGACTTGATTAACTGTCCGTGTACACTGACGCATAATCCATCAGCTTGATTCCAACAATTAAAGACACTCATGTTGCATCTAGATCTCTCTGTAAACAACTCCGCCTTGATCAGATTTAAGCACCCCCCCCATCTGTTGAAAAGAGTTATGTTGTCAGTGAGTATCTCTTTGTTGGTAGCATTTCGAAGACGTCTGTGAACCAGTAACAGATGAAGTGTGGTTTTCGAGCCTTCATTGAATGAAGGAAAATTGCGCCCTCCTTGGTACCTTGGTACGGTCGCGTCACCACCAACAAATTGAAGACTCCCCACCAAAATGGCTCTTTTCCACCAATGAGAGGTGCTTCCTGTCGAGACAGACAGAAGCGCACAGTTGCATGTTAAGGCGCCTTTCCACATGCGCGTCAACACTTGCGCCAAGCGTTGCGTATCCGTCAAACTCTCTCCCGAGGCGATATTGACAGCCGAACGCCAAGCACATGTGTGTTACGTTAATGGAGTCGATTTTTGTGTCCACAAACGACCGTCTTAGGTCACGTGTGGAGTGTGCGGGCTTAATCGCAGCAGCAGCCGGCTCGCGAAGTTTATGCGCGCATAGGCTGTGTTTAGTCGTCCCAATGCAAGGGCTTGGTCCTGACCGTAAGAATCATAGGTTCTGAATAGAGTTTGTTCCCTCTTCAATGTCACCACGATTGCCATATTTAGACAATTTATAGACTTTTCATGTTAAAAAGGAGCCACCTTTTGCGCGGGAACAGACCCTGTATAAGTTGTGGACAAAGGGAGAATTAGACATACGAAGCAGTAGGGCACCAACTCTAGCCTTCTTTCAGAGATATTCCCCCAACTACCGCAAATATAGGTATGAATCATGCATCAATAGAGAGAGAGAGAGATGTGCCCTTGCCTTGCCAATGCCACCACGATTGCCAGTTTTTGGTCATTATTGAAATTTTTATCCTCGAATATAGGGATCCATCTTTGCGCATGAAGAATTCCAGTCAGCTGGGAACAAAGGGAGAATTGCACAGGAATACGAAGCAAGGGCAGATTTAGCCGAAGACGTCACATGCACCACACAAGACACGCCAGAAAGCTAGGGTAAATGAAGTCATGCGAGTGATATCCCAAGTCGAGTCTCATGGCACGAATACTGGGCAAAAAACGGTAAGCTATATTTAATTTTTCCCTCAGCCAATCACAATAATTTTCACAATTTTATATGATATGACACAGAGAAGAAAAGAAAGACCCGCTGCCATTTCATAATGCATTGTTGAGTTACAGCTCCAGCTGTTGCAAGATATGAACACGATGTGTTTACACTAGAGTGGGGCGTTCTGGACTCTCGCAACAGCATTTTTAGAAGGTTGGCCTGACGACATTAAAATTTGCTCAGGTCAAGTACTCTTGAGGCATTTTGTAGAAAAATATAATTAGAATGCCGAGCAAGCTCGGTTAATGATTATTTTCAATTGGTGACTGTAACCATTTTTCTCACCCACTTTGTACGTTGCCCAGAAGTAGGTTGTTATTGATGGAGCAAAGGTTACAAAATGTCCATTATGAAAATCGCCTAGCTTAAGTGTGGTTACTGCCTGCGTGGCGCTTGTGTCGTAGAGGGGTTTGGTAGGTTGAGGGTCTAACTGGTGCTGTGGTAAAAGGTCCTTACAGGAGCTTATGGTAAATTCCATGGGTTGGATCACTTATCTCCCAGCCTGAGTTGTGAGTGGCGCTGCCACGTAGCTTACCAGTTTGCGATGCAATTAAATCTGAAGATCATAATCATACTATGACTAACCTTTTTAAACAAGACGTCTTGTTTACAAGACCTTCTTGTTTACAAGACCTTTATTCGCAAACCATGAATAATACGACCCATCGCCGTTAGAGGGCTCCTTCAACAAACCACGCTCCACTCTCGTCCACGTCACACACGTACGGTACAGTGCAACTAACTGTACATTTACATTCACACACAAAGACCGTATCATACTAACCGCAATCCCCCACAAACCGGTATCACCCACGAACCGCTATCGCAGGAAGGTCTTGTCGCAAAGCTGTAGCCCGGACGAAGACCCCCCCCGCAATGCATGTTATTTGAATATGTATATATTGAAATGTTCGCTCCTTGAATAATCACGCAAGCGTAATAGTGCAGATTGTTTTGCATAAACTAGGCTGGTCGCGATCACTAGAGATAAGCACCGCTAGTGGTTGAAAGTTTCAGGTTCACATATGCGTGCAACGCAGCTAGGTAACGCACTTTGGACGTGTATAAGTAATAACCTAGAGGGACATTTGGAGAAAATAATGGTGTCTTCAATGGTTCGATGGTACAGTACTTGCACGTACATACCGAACATATACATTTGTACATACACGCATGGGTGTACATGTACACGCACGTCTGCTGCTGGTGCACATAAAACGTGCAATACAGAAGAACACTGGGAGCTAGACGCATTGATTAACATAGCACCTTGAATGCACCCTCGTTATGGTCCTTACGCCACACCACGTCGGGCATAACGAAGTGCGCATGCTTGGAATATAATCTGCCTGGATCTTCGGGGGAGTTCAGAGCTTTGCGACAAGACCTTGCTGTGAGAGCGGTTTGTGTTTTGTGAGCGGTTTGTGCGCGTGTATAGAGGGACTTGTGGGGTATCGAAACAATAGAAAGTACCCCATAGGGTACTTGTGGGGTACTTAGACTGTACCCGACAAGGATTTCACGGAATAGATATTTCAAATTTACTCAAAAAGGAGGAATTTTCAAGTGCCATTCATCTGTCAAAATGAAGTATTTTAAATAAGGGACGTTCAGTCGAATTTCCAAAGTAGGAAAGTGAATCTAGTTCAAATGGGAGTGATTTGAAAATTTTTGAGTGCTGTGTGGAGTTTTGTACACAAGAACAAAGGAAATACCCCACGAGTATAGCTGTGTAAGGAAGAATGGGTGTGTACGTGTGACGTGAGTGGAGTGCCGTTTGTTGAAAGCCGGGGCCCTCTGACGGCGATGGGCGTATTAATCACGGTTCGAGAATAAAACAACAGGAAGGTCTTGTAAACAAGACTAGTAGTTTACGACCAATATGACAAACCATCAATAGCTATTTACCATTCAAATGTCCCACGAATCAGAAAACGTATTGTGCAGTCAAAACAGAACGCTCAATTGAAGAAACAAGGTGAATTATACAGAGAAAGAAACGAAATTACAGTAAAAACCAAAGTCCTAGTGGCAGTCTCTTGGAGTTATCTGTTAACTTATTGTGTGAACAAATGGCGAAATTACTACCAGCAAGTATTCCTACCTTTTAAAAAGCAGTCTTGTATAAAAGAGCCTGGTCTGAAAACCTACACTGTGTAATTTGTACAGTACACAAACTTTATACTCGAGAGTATATTCAATGGGTGGGCGTGAATTTTCGAGTGTAAAAATAATACAAAGATACTTGATATTTAGAAATGCAAAAACACTGGAATCAATTTAGTAGCGTCTGTTTGTTAATCATCTTGTATTGATTTATCACCTGAACGGCCCATGTTTCTTTAATTTGAAATGTAACACTATCTGATTTGCTATTATTCACCGTGAAAAATAAGCCATTTTGGGGTTTCCAATTAGGCTTACTTATTTGGAGGGGGTTTAAATCATGATTACAATTAGTAGGTAAAATATGTTGATGTCTAGGGATTGGCTGGCTCCGTGTGGATTTCTGTTGAGCTTTTCTTCTTGGTAAGTTTCATTTTGACTTTGTGACCTTACTGGGAATTGTGAACACTTAGGAAGTCAGATTCACCGCAGTGTTCAATATCTGGTCACCGTTTTGCAAAGAGGCGAATTTAGGTTTCGAGAAAATCGCATGTCAAGTTGTTCTCTTTTTCAGACACTTATTTTCCAGTATTTGGCATTCCTTTGACTAAATCAATGCTACTGCAGGAAAGAGGGGATCTTAAATGACACAAAACTGCCGAATAATTTTATTGAAGTCAATTGTAACCAAACAAACTTGCCTCTTCGGGGAAACGCTAAAATTCATGCGACTTTTGTCCTTTTGTGGAAACGCGTGGTAGTTTGCTACAGCGCGTACCAGACGCAAAATTGTTACATTTGTATACATTTTGGCGTCTCTTCGTGAAAAAGTAAAATGCAGTTTAGTTGAATTCTGCCCCTACTAGATCATCGTGATTGCGCTGATTTAAGTAGATTTGGTAAAAAAAAAAGATTATACAAGATGTGGGCATCGCAGAGCCTATTTATTTTCGCCAAAAAACCCCAGAAATTTGAAAAAATATCATGATTTGGGGCCAAATTGTCTCTTCGTGAAAACGGTGACGATCTGGACTTATTCCCTTATCACCAATTATTTTTTTAAATTTATCACCGATGAGTATAAGCGTAGCTTTTTTCATTTTTCCTTGAGGAGGGGTTCGAGTAGAAATTGCGACTATCCCCTGCACCACTTTTAACCTTGGTTGTTCCGTATAAATAGTATTGTAAAGAGATATAGCGCCAGTCTAAGTTTTTGGATCGTAATAAATCTTAGTGTATCTATCTTTTCACCTTGTATCTGAGTACAGTGTTTATTTTCAGCCATTGGTCTTGGGCACGAAAACCAAGCGCTCTACGCCTGGGCACCGCAGGAGACTAAACAAAGACGTGCGCGTGGCACACCGCTGGAAATTGCTGAATTGTTCCAGACACCCCTAGATTGTTTAATTAATAGAATAAATAAGCTGAGAGCACCCAGATCGTACTTCCCACTTCAGTACTGCATCATCCAATTTTTGTCTTTTACACGCAGGTTCTGTGACCTTTTTTTGGCTGTAAACCTGAGGTCTAGACATTCCTAAGCCGCATCACTAGCGATCACTAGCCGCATCTAGTGAAACTCAAGTAAACCTCTCTCAGACCTGTAGTCAACGTTACAGTTTTAAAGTACGTGTGATTCATGTTACAAACCAAACCAAACCAAACAAAAAGAAATTAGAGTTCCAAAGATTATGTGCAAGCAGTATTCTGCATTTGCTGGTACGCGTACACGTAAACACGTTAATTGGGTAGACAAACACGGAGAATTAGTAATTTGCATTTTTTAACGCAATGGAAAGATGATAGCGTTTTCACTGTAATTGCAGTCTCCCAGAAAATATTAATTGGCATCGCTGATCAAATTACAATTTTCGAACATGACTTAATTAAAGTATGCAATGCACACGTTCTTACTACCAGCATTTTCTTAAATAAAACATTGAAATTCCATTTCATGCCGAAAACTAATTAAATGACCTGAATTCGTGGGCAAATGTAGAAACCCTTAAATATACATGTATCACTGTTCGCTAGGGTTACCTTACTTGTGCTAATGACGCCAGGGAAAACGTGAAAATATTAAAATTTAAAGGAAAATAATTTCTTCATTGGTAAACGTAGCTTTTAAGCGCTAGCTTATCGTAGCCATTACATTGTAAAATACTAGGCATTTTTTGCCCAGCCTCTGTTGGGCCAAAAAATGGCAACGCCCGGTAAAAAAAAGGTCGTGCAAAATTAATAACATTTTCTACAGTTGTTGAGTGAAATGAGACAGGTTTACCCATGTTCCAGGAGAGAATCGGCACGGTTGAATTATCTGTTTTCCCAACAGTTAAGCAATTCACTTGGTGCCAACATCAGGTAAAAAAGTCCTCAGCTTTTTAGAGTGTAAGAGCCACTTAAATTTCACGAATTAAAAGATTCATTCAAAACAGGAGCAAGAGTGCTCCAATTTTCCACTGAATAAAGCTCATAAAGAAAGACAATTCCGAGTTAGTTTATGAAGGTCGGGAAACGTGCGGAAGCACCGAAATGTAAAACAAAATATCAGATTGTAGCAACAGACATCTGTATTGACCACCGCACTAAATGTAAGTGGACGTTGTCCAACATTTTTGTCCACAACAATGCGTGCTGTCACCGGGAAATTATGATGGGGCGTGGAGACTTCTTCAAAAGACCACTCGTCTTCCCAACAGACAGTTGTGTGTACCATAAAACATTCCAAGGGCTTTATTACTATAGGAAGAAATGCTAACCAGCAGTGTCAGCATGTTAGTAACTTTAGCGAATGATCTCATGAATAGTCTCGTTATAGTTCGACTGCATTGAACTGACTCAAAGACGAACTCGTGTCCAGGGGGAGATTTCACGATAGACAAATGCAAAATCAAGAGTAAAAACTTGAGCCAATCACAGCCTGACAAAGTGTATGCTAATGTTTGATAGCATAGGGGCCGAAAAAAATTGGTTAATTGGCGCTTATAGGCTGTTTGGGAAGAACCAATCAGAAGTGCAAAATGTAACGTGAGTGGGCGATCGGGGCGTGATATTTGTGGCACACACAGCGGATATGCTTTCAATATTTCACACCGGTGGAGAGTATATAAAATGCACGGCCGTCGGCTGCTAACTTGCGTTTGGCGGTAGAGTTCGTCAAGTAACTGAGCCTGGTGTGCTACGGAAGGTGAGTACAGTATTTACTGCAATCAAAGTGTGTGGGAACAGGAAAGAGCTCGTGCTAGAAGCCCTGTCGACCGTTGTGATTGACCAAAGCGTTGTAAACTTTTGGTGGCGCACTATTGTGGATCGCCCATAGTATAAAGCGAAGACGCGTTCAAACTGCGCGTTGGTTTTTACAGTGCACGTCCACGTTAGGGAACTTCTTAAGTTGGAACGCATGGAACGTTCCTTTTTAGGGAACACCGGCTGTTCCCATTTGGAACTAACCATTCCTGAGAACATCGATATCAGGAAACACTTGTGTTCCTTTACGGAACGCTGTTAATGAATTCCGAGCACCCAAGTTTCAATGTCCCATTTGCCATTAGTCAGTAATGTTACCGCCTTCGTACCGACGTTTTCTTCGACAGTGCTGACGTAACTTCTGCGACATCCTTGTCTATGTAGGAAGTGGGGCTTTTGTCCTGATTTTACATTAATTATTAGTTTAAGTGAATCTGGGACATTATCTGCAAACATTTTTGAACATAAACCTCCAAAATTGAACCAACACGCAGGCACCGCAGTAGAGCACACGAAACACTAGGCTGTGTAATGAGGGAGGGGGGGACGTGGGATCATTATCACGACTGGCTTCCTTGTTTTCAGACTTGACAATAATTATCCAGCGATAAGATACTTAGAATTGTTTCCCACATTATGTCCAAAAAGACGAACTGCACTGAACCCAATACTGCTCTCCTATTCAGCACCACAGTAAGCAGCACACCTTAGTAAACACAAAATGTCAGAATTCTCCATTAATTAATTCCATATTTTATTCCTATTTTTCTGTTAGGTCAATTAATGACAGATATTTTCTATTTCAGTGTCAGCTCCTGTGCCCACACATCTGAACTAACCTTTAGCATGCATTACTCACAAGACTTTTTCTTCGTGTTTTATTTAATTTATTACTTTACTTCTTCAGGTTACACATCAATGACCAGGGCCATGGCTTTCTGTACGCACATGCAAATTTTTCACCCACTTTGACTAGGAATTTGGATGCGCTACCTTGTCCTTTTGTATTGCAGTGGAGCTTTCCTTTGTAAAGACTTGTCACAGGTTGTGTGGATAAAGAAAATAAGGCTGGAGTTCTGTGGGCGATTTAAATGTGAGCAGAGCACAACCGAGTATAAATGTGATGAACAGCGATAGACAGTAGAGAAAGGGGGAGCGGGTTAGCGTAGCGGTTCTTTCCTCGCTTTGCACCAATGAGGCCGGGGTTCGAGTCCCGGCTTGGCCCAGGCCTCAAGTGCATTTGGTTTCCAGCCCATACTCGCTCTCGCAGGTTTTCTCCGGGTACTCTGGTTCCCTCCTGCCTCTAAAACTGGACCTTCTTCCTAACTCCGTAATGTGATGCTGATTAATAAAGTGTATGAATGAACGTACAGTTACTGGCGCAAATAGCCTGAGTTGCTGAAAGCGCCATTAAAACAAAACAACAACAACAGACAGCAGAGAACTGAGAGATGCATCATGATGATGAGGTGTGTGGGCTCAGTTGATAGTCCCTATCCCAATGTCGCACGAGTTTTGTACTTTGGTTGCGCCATTTGCCACGG